CTCTTCACATACAAGTGTTCAAACATTCTGTTGCCTTTCTTCTGTTTGCAGAAACAGCAAAAAAGAAGAAAAGGTCAATTAACTGATCCAGGAAGGGAAAGACAAAGGAAGTATAGAACAAAGTAGATGAAGATGAGGCAATAAGAAGAGGTAATAGACAGAGAAATGAAGAAAATAGAGAAAAGCTTTATAGTTAGACATTACAAAAAGAGTTAAATTTACCAGGCATACAGTCCCACCCAAGCAGCTACTAATCTTCAGCTTCACTTTCAGCTGTGCATCAGCAATCTCTTTAATCATTTGCATTTCATTTTCAACAACTTTTTCTATTCTCATTAGTGAATGCAAGACCACTATCCAATTCACAGGCATTTATCTTCTCATAAACATCTGTTCCATATCATGACAATAACAAAATATGTCATGTCATAGTGCAAACCTCACTCTTTTGCACTAGCGTTCCAATATCAAACACAAGTACATAAGTCAGAGGATTTGCATCACAATGTAAGTTTCATCATTGCTTCCCCTGCCATGCCTTGTGGAAACCTATCTTTTTAGCAGCTACCTGCAATATATAACTCTTGTACATAATTCTATAAATCTGTTTTTTGCCCTTTTTTTAATAAAGCAAAAAGCTCTATAAAGTGTTGCCCTTCCTCATATGGCTTTCCAATTTCCTAAATGTTTTGCTTATCCTTTTTTGGTGCTTTTCTGCATATCTTATTTATTTTTTTACAAGATATGACAGCATGAAATATATGCTGTATTCATGATATGATGACTCCATAGATTTATATGAATCATTTTTTTTTAACCCTAATTATCTCTAGCATGGAATTCATCTCTTTCACAGCTAACACATGTTTGATCAACATTCTCACTGTGTCATTTACTCTAACCCTAATATACTTTTCATAACTATCTTTATTATGCTTCTCATGTAGAACAGGATAATGGTTTATATTATCTTCATAATGCCTTCTACAGAGTGATCCACAATAACTATTGGGTAGCAATAAAGTAATACTACTGAATAGTAGTTAAATAGTTAGGAATTTCAGCTGTCAGAAACTAGTCCCTGATTAAAATTAGTCATGCTCACTAGTTGGTTTCTATTCATTCCTTTACTAATGTAATATGGAGCAGTTTGTATTGCTGCTGAATCTAGAGGCTGAAGCCAATATTTGCATTGCCAGAAATATTGTTATCTTATTAAAAATGAGTGATTCTGATGGTTCATTTCGTTAGCAATCTTTTGATACTTTATGTCAGGGAAATGCTTCATATATTAAGTGTTTGAAAATGCAAGAATATTATGAGTTTTCCATGTTATCCTTCAGTACAGTTAATTGAGAAATCCATTAATTAAAACTGGAATTGAAGATGTGGTTAGGCAACAGGATATGTCAGTTATTCAGACATCTTTATTTTTCTCTTGGATTCCCCCCCCCCCCCATTCAAGCCTTTTGTAAGAAAATTATGTTTTTTATCTGACAAGCTGTAAATTGCAGAAGTTTATAGCACTCTAGTTCCAAGCCATGCTTGCTATGGTCCTTCAAAGCAGATGAACTAAAATGTTATGAATATAGAGATATTTGCAGCATGCCCGTTTCCTATTCTGCAGAAAGGTTTTTAATCTGACTAGCTAAACAGAACAGGCTGTCAGGATAATATAGCTTGAAATATTATTTATACTGAACCATGAATTGCATACTACTGTATATAATAGTTATAATAAAGACAAAATTCTCTCCAAAATTCTCACTCCTGGTGACCATTAGCTTTATATCCATGTAGCTTTCTGGCAACAATATGAAAATGGTTTGTCATTGCCTGCTTCTGCTATTTTTTTTAACTTTCCAGTTTAACTTCTGCCTAAGGTTTTCTTATTCTTCCATATAATTACTAAGCAGGACCAATACTCTATTTAGCTTTTTCAAGATCAGCAAAAGTTGGCTAGGTGTTGCTGATCTTGATTATGATTAATTATAATTTAATTATAACTGCAAATAGAGTGGTTTGTTATATTAATATAAAGTAGCTATTTGCAATGATGTCTGGAAATATAAAACAGTGCTTTGCAAAAGACATATTGATTTTACAGATATCATGATCTGAAATTCAATACTGAATGACAATGCTAATGATAATGTCCTTTCCTAATCTTTTATCATGTCAGTTTAGTTGGTGCTTTTAAATTATGCTTGGTTCTGTACATTCAAATATATACATATTTGTAGGGAATAATTGCTACTGAAATCAGTAGGACTTTGCTCTGAGTAAACATGCATAGATTTGGAGAGTCCCTTGTCTTCTTTTAAATTATTGTTATAACCAAAGCTTTAAAACTAATAACTTTAATCTGGACTCTAATTATAGTCACCTGCCTTACAGTGTTGTTCTAAGTATTACAGAAGCAGCATATATGAACAACAGAAAACTGTAAATCAGATATAAATATCATCATAATTATCATTATTTATTGATATTATACTGAAGAACAACCATGGAATACAATATAACTAGTGATTCTACATGTAACTATCTTTTTATTCTTAAAATAAGTATTTAAAACAGGATTGGATTTTTAAAAAATCACTGGTGATTTGAAAATATTTAAGGAATGAAAGCTTGTTAACTATTATTTTACCCATAATAATAGTTACGTGATATGTAGTACTAATAAAGTGCAATGAATTTTAACAGCCAGAGAGACAAAATACTATGTTCTAATTAACTTTTATGCATGCACAATGGTACCAAAAATACTTTAAGTACCTATAAATAATGCATTATAAGGATGATGAACAACTCTTCACCAATCATATAAAATGCACCACTATGCAATGGATACCATATATCAGCTTCTAGACCTCTGGAGAGAATCCACTGAAGGTTTTCAGGTCTACCACTTCAAAAGACACTACAAAAATTAAAATACTGTAGCCAATAGCTGTTCTGATTCCTCAGCTTAATGAATGTAACAAGTTGTATATAATATGTTTCATTCCTATACATACAGAGTAATTCAAATTTTGTATTAATTGATAAACAGACCAATGTGTTGCTGATATGCAGTTTAACTTTCTGGAAATTGTTTTCAGTAAGAAATAGGAAGGAAGGGAGAGTAATAGTCCTCCATAATTAAATGAGGAAGTCTGTCTGTCTGTCTGTCTGTCTGTCTGTCTGTCTGTCTATCTATCTATCTATCTATCTATCTATCTATCTATCTATCTATCTATGTAACATTATAGTTACACAACGATGAATTTTCCTCTGTGAACAGCCTAAGGTACTTTTACACTTAAGATAAAGCATCCTTGCAATTAGAGAATGTAAATACTATATAAGTCTGCAATTTTATGCGCACTTACCTGTAAGTTCAATTCAAAGCCACAGAAATTGCTTCTGGGCAGATTTAAGCACTATGGGACTATACATTTAATTATGGGAGAAAAATAATTTTTTACCCTAGTAAAACTGTTGCTGATTTCTAAAATGGTTTAGGAGTTTAACATGCATCCAGCATCAACTGAAATAAATAACTGGAAGGGAGATGTCGTAGTTTTATGTTTCAAATGTAGAGATGTATCTTTCCCAGTTTTCTTAAGATCTAAGAATATTGCCTAAACGTTACTTGTGGTAGCTTTCATGGTAGTATCAGAATTAATCTCTCAGTTACTCTCTCAATTAATCTCTCAATTATCAGTATGAATTACATCAATAATCTGCATATTGAACTAGAAAAACCTAAATTAATGCAAAAAATCCTTTAAAGTCTCACCCCATCTTAAAACTAAACATTTGACAACAAGACGAATTCAAAGGCATTTCCTCATGAACCAGTATAATACATAGGCTACAGAATTTATTAATTTTGGTCAATGACCAGCTTAAAAAACAGCCAGTAAAATACAACATATGAGATATCACAATTTCAAGAGCAATTGAATACACAGTAAAACAGACTGAGTGGCTTTTTTGACTAATGGTAGAAAGATGGTAGATCAGATGAAGTTTTATCAGATAAAGAGCCAATAAATTAAACAAAAATGTTGGGTGACTGTGCCTACGTTCTGGACAAAGGAGACAGGAAGTTTACATAAAAACATACCCCACAAATATTTGTTCCATATCCAGTAAAATTAGATTAAAGTAATAAAGGCAAATTACTAAGTGATTACTAAATGAAGCCACTAAATTACCTATTCTGGATCTATTTTAAACAATGAATCCTTTCCATTTCTCCTTTGGCAATATTATTTACTTTTATTTGTGTAAGGATATAAAATATACATTATTTTCCCTCATACAGTATTATTTGTATTAGCTCTGAGGGCATTCCATGTCTTAAAAATGCAATAAAATATGTTATGCACATTTGCTAATCTAGCCCTATATAGGAGAAATATTGAATTTCTCCATTATTCTCATATGAAAAATAAATCCAATCAACTCTCTTCCCATGCATTCAGACAATAATAAGGCTTGCAGCAACCAAATCCACACACTTGTTAAACATAAGTACTTGAATTTAGAATAATTTAATTCCGTTTTGTCCCATTATTGGGACTGCTCAGGTTAAATTGTAATACCTCAAGTGACCTGGTTGATAGATCAATTTGCCAGCCCATTTCCTGCAAACTAAGTTATCCTTTCCTTGAGTGGGGTAGGGAATACACCCACCTATACACAATTCAGCTTTCCAATTCTCTATCCTTTTCTTTGCATTCCTTACCATTCTACAAAATTCTGATCCTCAGCCTAATTTTCAACTTGATCTTCACAGTGCAAAAAATATGTTCATGACATAGTTCAAAGAGATGGAAGAACAGGGGTCAGAATATTTAACAAAAGATTCAAATGTGAGATGGATGAGGGGAAAGCATAGCTGCAAGATTCACTCCTACAGAGGAAAAGCCATGCAGTCTCCATCTCTTGACCTCCCCTTTCATTGAGGGGGAGGCTGACTGGGAAAGGGCAGAAAAGATTCTTACCTTCACTGCAATCCTTCCCACGGAAACCGGTATGGGAGCAGTCACACACCGCCTGATTGTTGAGCACAGAGCATACACCACCATTGAGGCAAACATCGCTAGCACATAGGTGGCTCTGTTCATCATCCAGACGTACTTCTTGACTCTCCACAGGCGAAGACTGTGTATAATTGACTCTTACATCTGTTATCCATCCTTTGAAGGGCTCCCTATCCTTCACTGAGGACAGTGTTACTTTTAGGGTAGGTGAACGCAACTCTGGAGGTAACCCTCCTAGAAAGAGACCACTGAAGACCGTCATGTCCCGCCGCTTAGATTTCACTTCCACCCATTTAGCCTCAGTCTGATCAATTAGCAGTGTTGTATTCTTAAAATTGCGGCGAATGACCACGGTGTGCCACAAGTTGTCATTGACAGCCATGTCAGAGAGCAAGATGGCAGGCTCTGCACAGAAGATGGAGAAACTTAGCTGGAGCCGTCCACCTTGTGTCAGAATTAACTCCAAGAAGTCGCAGAAGCCCTCATCATCAAAGTAAAGGACCAGGCCACTGGAACTGCGGGTTTTCATGTTAAAGCTCATTTCGCTCTCACAGCAGGCATTCCATTTGGGGAAGCGAGTCCACTGGCCTTCTGCTCCTGGGAACTCCAAGCCACTGCCAAGCTCAGCCCAACATCCCAGGAGCAGTGCCATCCAGAGTAGGAGGCAGCCTCCACGCCTAAGGAGCACAGGCCCCATTCTTGGTGGGGTGGGGTGGG